AGCAGGAATCGTCAAAGTGGCCTTCCCAATCTCACACAAGAGCTTACTGTGCTTCCAAAACTCTAGCTGCAAGGGAGCCTTGGAAATGCAGTTTTTGCTTTCCAACCTCCACAGTTCAGGAAGCACCCTAGGAGGTGACCCCGGGGAATGTGAGGAGTAGGAGAAAAAGAGGCTCCAGAAAGAGGGAACAACATGGACAAAGGCCCTGATGTGTGTTCAGGAAACAGAATGGGCAGGCCATGGTAAAGAGTTTGGATTTTATTCTAGGTGACATGGAAGCTGCTGACAGGTCTCAAGCAGGGTGGTTGCCATGGTCAGATCCGCTTCCCTCTGGTTGCTATGTGGAAAATGGGCTTGGGGGACAAGGGTGGAAGCCACAGGCCAGCAAATGATGGTGGCCAGGATCTGGGTGGTGGCAGAGGAACTGGGAGAAAATGGGTGGACCTGAGATATATCCAGGAGGTAAAATTTATAGGACATGGTAAAAATTGGATGTTAGGGGAGGGGAGGCATAGAGACGACCTCCAGGGTTCAGCCTTATGAGCTGAGAAAAGTCACCTTACTTCTCTCTTAGTTTCCTTTTCTCTGAACTGGAGTTGACTATGATGAGTGATTAATTCATTCAACAGATATTTACAAATTACCTACTATGTGCTGGGCAGTGGGATAAAAGTGCTTTTCCTGATGTCTGGCCCCAGAGTAAGTGCTTAGGAAAATCTTCCTTTTTCTTTCATCCTTCAGAGCTCACCTCAAGTGCACCTTCCCCCTGGAAGGCTTCCCTGATTCCACCCCAAACTGCACTGCTTTCTCACACTTCTAAGGGCTGGCAATCAGGGCTAGAAGATAGGGTGAAGGAGGAAAGGAACGGGCCAAAACACCCCAGATTTCCAGTGTTAACAACTCTAAGAACACTGATTTCTTCCCACTGAGCCTTTGCTCATGTTCTTTCCTTCTGCCTGAAATATCGTATCTCTTATTTATCCTTTGACTCAGCTTGGATGTTTCCTCCTCCAGGAAGCCTGCTTTGCCCAGCCAGACCAATTTGTTCTGCCATCTGTGTCTACCTTGCATGCTTTGCTAACTACGAAGTGGTCGTCTGTCTCCGCACTGGATGGGGAGCCCCTTAAGGGCTGGGAGTCAGTCTGGAAAACTAAAATGGAAGTGACCTGAAGCGTTCAACATCCATTCAACAAATATATATTGAGCACCAACTTCATGCCAGTCCCTTATTTAGGCAGCTTTGATAAAAGCAGACACATATGAGAAGGGAAAGATGGGAAGGATTTCAGTGAAGGGAGAACAATTGTGTTAGTCACAATTGGCTAAGTTTTGCTGTGGTAACAAAGAAACCCTGACATCTCAGTGACTTAATACAACACAAGTTTATTTCTTCCATGTGAGAAGTCTGATCTAACTTCCATCTGGTGACGCCAGGGCTCAGAATCCCTCCCTTACATGCTCTGCTGTCTCAACCGGTAGCCTCCCAGGCTTCCTTGGCAGGAACAAAAGGGTTAAGGGGCTCTAACTGCCACAGCCCCAGACTGACACTCCAGCTCACAGCCCATTAGCCAGGACTAGTCATATGACTCCATGCCAACTGCAAGGGAGGCTGGGAAATGTAGGGAAGCACATGCAGCATCTCTGCCACAGCATCCTAGGCCAAGCAAAAGGCATGTGTGTGAGAGCGGGAAGGACAGAGGTATTTGGGGAGCAGCGTGCAGACTTTCTTAAGGATAAAGCCCCAGTGCCTGTCAAGAACTCGCAACAAAGCCCCCGTGTTTGGGTTTTTACTTTTTTTCTTTTATGTGTATGTGATTTGAGAATGAACGAAGGAAGGAACAAATGTGTCTGCAAGGCTCAGTTTTGAGTCCCTTCTGGTCTTGGAGCACTGGAGCTAAAAATGCCATTTATAAGGGTTTACTTGGTGCTAGGCACTATGCTTGGAGCTGGACACCTATTGCTCCATCTCATTTACTCCTTTGAACAACTCTGAAAAAGGTGTAGGGATTACTGTGCCCATTTTACAGATGGGAAGACTGAGGCTCAAATTGGTTTAATCATTTGTCCAGGACTGAAGTCAATGCCCAGACCCTTTCTATCATGCTGTACTGGTCTGATCACTCTCAGGGGCAGAGGGGAAATGTTAAATGGCTGGGGGAGTGGGCTTCTCACTCTTCAAATTGTCCCATATCTGAGGAGGTAACAACAGCAGCCACGCCAAGCAAGTTTGGAAGGAGGAGAGGGTAGGGTGTATTCTTGGGCAAGTACTTCACTTCTCCACACTCAACTGCAGCTCAACTTCAAAAGGACATGACAGCCTTTTGGGGTGGCCATGGGATTGGATGAGAAAGTGTCTGTAAGCACTGACCATTCAGGAAGTGCTCTGTAAGTGGCCCATGTTACCTGTATTAGGGTGTCCGCCTTCAGGGGGAGTCAGTGAGCAGAGGGTTTCCTGCTAGGGCCCTGATTGCCTTGATGGTGCCAGTGAAGAGAGCCAGAGGGCCTAGAGGAAAGGCCAGCTCTACCTTCAGGCACCTCGGGGCACCTAACCTCTGTGCCGGGTTCCTTATCAGAAAATAGAAATATCCATCAAATGCTCAATTTTTCAGCAGACTTCTGAGAATATTAATGGAGATGGTGGGTGTGAATGTATTTTATAAGCCCCGAGTCTCCCTCCAACCCCACCTCACCTGAACTGCAGTTCCCTGAGGAGAGGAGCAGAGTCTCAGACACTCTTCCAGCCCCTCCTCTCCCTCCCCAAGAAGGTGACCAAAAGCTATTTTCAGAAAAGCCAAATAGCCCATCTACCCACCAAAAAGAGGGTGTCCAATGCAGAGTCTAAGGCCTGAGGAAATTTCAGAGTTTGAGTCAGAGGTAGCGAAGTGGAAATGAGTGAGCCAAACTCAGCCTCAGACAAGTCGCTTAATCTTTCTGTACCTTGGTTTTCTTGTTAGGAAATTTGGCATAATCATAGTAATGCCGAGGATTATTGTGGGGAGTAGAAGAATTAATATATGTAAAGTGCATAAGAACTGCCTGACGCATAATAAGTGTTGGCTATATGTTACTATTATTATTTTATTATTTGATTCACATGATGTCAAAGTTTTTGGATTCAAGTGTCTTCAGATGGCCTCTTCATGTTAGCCCAAGTCTCCACCACTCCCTGTTATCCTACACCCAGCCTGCCTCCCTGCCTGGCTCCAGAAGGCCCCTGGTTAGAGTTGCCAACCACAGCCTGTTCCTTTGTCCTCATTGTGCCTGCCAGATGACACAGGCTGCTGGTTCCTGCCACAGAACAATGAGGATTACAAACCTGAGCCAGACCAGCCCTCTAACAATCAGGCAAACTCAAGGCAGGGTCCTGAGCTGCCTCTCACACCCATGGCTCTACCTCAGCTAGCTGTGTGTCTTCTGGCAAGCCCTTCCTCATCTCCAGGCCTCAGTCTCCCCTGGTGTCGAGTGGGCTCCAGAGCTCCAGTCCACCTCCCAAGCTTGTTCTGAGATGGGGACAGTGAAGAGGACCTTTCACCATGCCAAGGTCCCTGATTCCCTTCTCAGCAGAGCTGGGGAGCTCTCAGCCTGTCCCCTCTCAATGCTGAAAAGAGAAATCCCACACCACGCCGCCCAGAACTGCAACGAACCGAGATTATCCAGATGCAGGTTTTATTATCATTGATAGGGGAAAGGCGCCTAGAGGGCGCATACAAGTTACATACAAGCCGTGACTTCCAAGGTGATGTTTACAAATTCCTGCACATGTTTATTCTCACAGCCACCACACAGCACAGCAGCACCTACAATGCATCCCCCAAGCAGAACACAGCTGTGGGTCAGGGCTCTTCCCACCCACAAAAGGATGCACAAGAAGAGGAGGAGACCCGGGTAGTGGGAGTGAAGTTTACACACGGCAAACCCTGACACACGGGCAAGGGATGGAAGCTGGATTTGGACATCATGGCTTCAATCCCACCCACCCTCACTGCCTGTTCAAACCAGAGGTACCCTGCCCCACCCTGGGGATCCCTTAGAAGACACAGCAGGGTCATCTTAGCCAGGGCTAGGGAGGGGAGCAGGCCTGCAGGGGCAGGGGTGAGAGGGACTCTGGGATCTGCCCCCTTGCCAGTGGCGCAAAGTGGAGTAATATGAGGTTTTCACTCATAGGCTGGCTTTCTCACATCCCTGAAGTAGGCGGGTGAGGCCAGAGGTTTGATGTGTATGTACACCAGGGGCTCAGGCGTGTATGGTCAGGCATCTAAGGAGGAGGGAAAAAGGGGGTCACAAAAGGGTAGGGCATACAGGGCTCAAGACCCCAAGTTGATTTTACAAGAAACGGGGCTCACTCCTCCAGGGGCTCCCTGGCCTAGGCCGCTCGCCGCCCAGGGTGCTGCCGCTTCTCTTCATCCCCCTGGCCCCTGCTCAGGTCATCCAGGAGGCCCAGCAGGAGGCTGGCTTGACCACAGGATCCCCGGGGCCCACATGGGCTTCCCAGGGCCCTCTTTCCCGGATGCTGGCGTTTCTCCGGCATCAGCTCTCCCTCCTCCTCCTCCTCTTCCCAGCTGCTTTGGGCCTGGGGATCCACCAGCCGTCTGCCTGGGTGCTGCCTCTTGGTGAGAGTGTACCCAAGCCAGGAGGAGCGCCGGCCAGGGTGCTGCCGCTTCTGCTGGCTTATATCCTCTGGCCATGCAGCCACATCCTCCTGCTGGCCAGGGTGCTGCCGTTTGTGGGGTTCCACTCCCTCTTCTGACTCCTGCTCCCTTTTGCCTGGATGCTGACGCTTTGAGAGCCAGTGCGGTTGAAAGATCTGGGACTCTGGGGAAGGAAAGAGGCCAGTGAGGGACCCCCTGACCCCTAGATGCCCACTTCAGCCTTCCTCCCAGTCAAGGCAGATCCCCACAGCATTCACCCAGATTCATGGCCTTGCACCTGCCTCTCAGGTCTCACAGACACATAGACACTCACACAGATGGTCAAGGGCATGGCCTCTGGTTCCAGTCTCAGCTCTGCCACTCCCTAGCTGTGTGACCATAAGCAACTCACTTAACTTCTTTGAGCCTCGGTTTTCTTCTGTATAAAATGCGGTGTGGGAGGGTAATAACAGTACCTATCTGATGTCTAGGAAGATCCTATCATGTGATAAGGTGCTTGAAGTGCTTAAAACAGTGCCAGGCAGTGCCTAGTAGCTAGTAATTAACGCTGTCACACACAAAAACACTCTCTCTCCCTGGCACAGAATCTTTCCTACTGAAGGTCTGCCCTCTGAAATATTCCAGAAACTGCGATGGAAAAGGAATCTGGTCCCAGGAAAGGGTCCACTCACCACCTGCCGAGGGTGTGGCCAGTGGGAGTTTCTGAGCTTCTGAAAGGCAAGAGGCTGAATGACCAAGTCGTTCCCTCCCCTTTGCGGCCGAGTTTCCCCTAAACCTCTCGGGCGTCCCCCTCTCAACCCGCAGCCCCACACAATCCTGCCCCTCACCTGATTCGCTGTCTTCCTGGTCCTCTCGGAGTCGCTGGAGGTCTTCCCGGAGAAGGAGAAGGGGCTCCGCCTGCCGCAGGAGGTTGTCCAGGCCCAGTTGCTCGGCGGCCATAGCCGCCTCCTGCTGGGCCACCTCCGGCTGTGCGCGGCCGCCGGGGACACCGGTCAGGGTCAGGGTCAAAACCATGGCAAGCAGAAACCAAGGGCCGGACATCGCGGCGCCTGGGGTAGGGAGGCCAGGGAGAGAGCATAGGTGCGCCGCGCTCCCCTCCCAGCCCATTCTATCGCCCGTTTTCCCGTCCTACGGAACCCCGAGGCCAGGGGGAACCAACCGTTCAAACACCCTTCCGGAGCAGGACCACCTGCCACCTTACGGGGGGGCGGGGACAGCCGGAGGGTCTGCCTCGGGTCCTGGGCGTCCTCACCCGTAGGGATGCTTGGAGAGCCTGCCCGCGCCCAGTTCTGCCCGCGCGAGCCTGGAAGCGGTGGGAGCCCCATCGCCACCGCGACTTCTCAAGGCTACGCGGAGCTGGGGAAGCCAGCGCTGGGGCTGACTCTCCAGGAGTGTAACCACCAAGACTGTAGCGCGGCCCCGACGGCCAGGATGCTAATTGCAGCGTCGCAGGCTAAAATTCTCCCCAAGTTTCCCAGCGCAACGCTCTCATTCCAACACTCCTTCAACGTTCTGATTGCAACGCTGACTCTATTTCTAATGCTAAGATTCTATGGCTAGGCTACGAATCTAATTCTAACGCTAAAATCCTAATTTCAACGTTAATTCCACCTCTAAAATCCTATTTTAGCGCTGAGAGTGAGATTCTAAGGCTGAGATTCGATTCCACCGCGAAAATTCTGTTTCTAACGTCCGGATTCGAATTCTAACTCCCAAGATCTCCCGCCGATGTCCTGCCCAGCGCTGCCTCAGCTGGCCCCCCGGCAGGGGTAGGATGCGAACCTTCCCCCGACACGCTGCGCGAGCGCTGCAGAGGCCGGGACATGCGTGCCCACCCGGGAGGAACCGCCACCACTGCCCGCGCCGTGCCTCCGTCGGGCCCCGGCCTGAGCTGTGGAAGATCCGGGGGTACGAGCGCAGCGCCCCTCCTGGGCGCGCTCCGGGCTCGGAAGCCGCCGCTTTCCGTGGGGCGCACCCGAAGGCGGGCGGAGGGCCCCCTTTCCAGGGCTACAGACGCGGCCTGCGGGGGAGAAGCGACGGAGGTAGTTACCTGCCCGGCACGAGCTCCGCGGACTGGTCCGGGATCCTGGGCTCCGATCCGGAGTTTTGGGGTCTGGAGTGGGCGGGTCAGGAGTCGGGGAGCGCTCGCAGGACCCGGGACGCCGGCTGCCAGCTTCTCGGCGGGGCTGCTGCTTATATCTGCGCGAGGCGGCGGCGCGGGTGAGGTCAGCGGGGAGGGGTCGCGGCCGCCGGGAAGGGACGCTGACGGCAGCCGGCCCCGTGGGTACCCCGCCCGCCCGCCCGCCCGCCTGCCAGCCAGCTCCGCCGGCACTATGGGGCGGGGACGGGGGGGGGGGGGGGGGGGGGAGGAGGGCCCCCCTCGCACCCGCCACGATCCGGGTGCTGAGTGTGTCCTGCGTGGAGCCTTTTATCCCTTGGGGGCACTGCCCAGCCACTGTGGATGTGGTGGTGGTCCCCTGGAAGGGGAGATGGACTGACTTTCTGGCTCCTGGTCCAGCCTGTCCCATTGGCCCGGTGGCGGGCTCGAGGGGGAACGTGGCAGCCAAGGGGTGGTGCACACACGTATGTGACCACGCCAAGTTACAAGGCCACGGTCCCCGTCATCTGGGAGGGTCTGCACTCACATCACGAGTACCCCATGGATACTGGAGGAATGCTTGGGGGAGCCCAGCATGGGGTAGCAAATACCACCACCACAGGTTGAGAGCGAAATGGTGAAGGAAGGAAAACTTTTTATATGTTAATGGCTTTAAGAGCACTTTTTCCTTTTTTTTTTTTTTTTTTTTTCA